GTAGCCAACACTGAAGAACGTAAAGGGATGCGTAAACCTCGCAAGAAACGCTCATTTAATTTTGTGAATGAAGTCTATTCACGGAAAAAGCGCGCAATGCGTACACCATTAGGTACACCAACTCGCTCTTTACATGAAGGAGATAAAAAGAAAAGGAAAGAAAAGGGAAAGGGAAAAGCGAAAGCTGAACCATCAACCCCTGAAAATTGTGGACCTTGGTTTGCCATTATTTGGATTGTGTTGAAAGTTTATATTTTTGCGATGGGATGGATGATGTTGGCTATGTATTATAAATTGATTCCGGTATAATTTTTTGAAATTTTTATGATATTACAGTTAATTTTTTTCATTTTTCCATGTTTATAATTTTTTGATTTCCGTCAAGTCGGATCTCACATTCGATTAGAAAGTGATTGATAGGAATAAGATTGAGAGCATTTGCCGTATAACTAGAGATGGGACCAAGACAAGTCTTGATCTTGATTCTCGTTTGACACTCTCTGTCTGGCCGCTATAATATACTGAATTATTTGTTCGTCCTACATATTTATCTAGTTTATATTAATTACACTCTTCAACCAAATATAGAAACAATAATTACGAGTAATTAATATGGCAATCCTATAATATAGAATTTTGATTTTCTTTGCGATTTCCATGGGTCTAACGCAGGCTTAACGTTGATAACCAATGGAGTGATGCAAGCGAGATCCGACTATATTGACATGGGGTTTTTTTATTCCAGTTTAATTTTTTTGTAAGCTAAACTGGAACTTTTTTTGCCCCATTGGAACATCTTTCTCGAGGGTTTCTTTACTTTAATCATTTATTTTAAAACTCACCTTTATCATATTTTTAAATTTGTATTTTTTTGACCTGGGGTTTTTTTATTCCAGTTTAATTCTTTTGTAAGCTAAACTGGAACTTTTTTTGCCCCATTAAACATCTTTCTCAAGGGTACCTTTAACTTTAATCATTTATTTTAAAACGAACTTTATCATATTTCTAAATGTGTATTTTTTATTAAATTTTATTTTCATTTTTAAACATGTTACGATAAATTATTTATTTAAAAAATTTCAAATTTTTATGAGTTATAATTAGGGATCGGATTTTAAGACTGTAAGCATATTAAAATGGGCACAAATAGGTTTGAATGTTCTATCTTAATTCCAATAAAGAATGTTCTATCAAAATTCCAAAAAAGGAAATTTTCTAAATGTGTATTTTTTATTAAATTTTATTTTCATTTTTAAATATGTTACGATAAAAAAACATGTTTTTTTAACTTTTTATAAGTGTTGCAAGGCAAGCGGCAAAAACATCGCAAAGCCAAATTCAATTCAAATAACGCAAAACTTTATAAAGTTTCCTTACTGTCATCTGACGCTCACTTTCTTAGTTCACTCTATCTGTACAAAAACACTCTAATATTGTCTGGCATAGGCGAGGCATTATATAGAAAAACGGCTGTAAACATAATTGTGTGATTGCTCCTGGGAGTTAAATTTTATCTGAGTCCCGCGGCCTTTTGGATTTGTTGAATGATTCGATAAGGAAAGAGATAAGGATAGATGGGTCTGATCTAATATTAGATCAGACCCATTTTATTATATAAACAAGCTATTAAAACCCATTAAATATAATCACGAGAAATAAATCGACTTTTCCTTTCTAATTCACACTCTCTCTAGATAAAAAATATGCCCTCTCAAAAAGCTTTACATTAACTCCCCCTCTTAAAATTATCAAGCCCTCCCTTCATTAATGTATATTTATGTCTATGGTAAATTAATTTATATTATTTAATTTTAAAATTTAAATGCTTTCGACATTTTCGGTTATTCAAGCACGGTCCGCAACTTTTTACAGTTCTCAATCATGGGCGAGAGCATGCGGCAAAAAATCGCAAAGCCAATAGTTAATCCAAATAACGCAAAACTGTTATAAATTATTCCCTAAAAAAGAGAGTTGGCGTTATATCCTATGTAGGAACACGGTACTGGCCTAATTTGTGTTTTTGAGCTTTTTTTCAACATTATAATGGTGCAAGAAAAATATGCCGGAACCTATTATAAAATGTCTGACTCTGTTCCCAAACATTTCCGGCTAATCTTTCCGGCTTTTATGTTTTAATTCCAAGTTGTAAAATTAAATTTTAGAAATGAATTCACACTCTCTCTATATAATTCACACTCTCTAATTCACACTCTCTCTATATAGATGGAGAGCCCTCTCAAAAAGCTTTACATAAACTCCCCCTTAAAAATTATTAAGCCCTCCCTTCATTAACGTACATTTTATTCAATGTTAAATTTATAAATTTTATATATTTTTAAAATTTAAATTATTTATGCATTTTTCGGTTTTTCAAGAAAGTCCGCAACTTTTTGCAAGTCTCACTCATGGGCGATCTCAAAGCCAAATTTAATCCAAATAACGCAAAAATTATAAAGTATTCCCTATACATGAGAGTTGACGTTACAAAGGCGTGCATGAGAATCCTCATACCTTTCCCTCCTGCCATTTTTCTAAAATTTTGATTTTATAAAATTAAATTTCAGAAATGAAGCATCGAAAATGCTTTTTCATTTCAACAACATTTCCCCTAAAAATACCCATCCTCTCCTTAATTTTCATTCTGTTTTCCTTCAAACATTTTTGTGATGCCCAACACAATCTAAACGATTCAATACGATTACAAGTAAAGAAATTGTTGGAAAAATATTTACCGACTGAACACCACGATGAACCATTGAAATCGCTTCATCATTTGTTCAACGGACTTGCACTATTTAATGACCACTACCGTTTTGGTGGTATTCTTGACTATTGCAAAGAATTCAAAGCCGATCTATTCGAAAGCGATCAAGTAATTTATATATTAAGATTATTCAGGATATATTAAGATTATCAGGAGCCCTATAATTTCTTTTAAAGGTGCAATCCAGCGAAAGGTTAATTTTTGAAGAAAATATGGGCAGAGAAATGATGTTAAATGTCAATGCATATGTTGAATGTGTAAATGGGATATACACAAAATATTCCATCGTGGTGGATGAAAAACCACGCGGCTTTGTTGAAGGTAAAATATTTAATTTTTTGTGTAAACATCCTATATATAATTTTAGAATAATGTTTGTCTGTCCGCAGCTTTGAATTTTGCTGTGTTTGGCGTTGTGTTTATTTTTTAATTAAAAATGACAAAATATCCCAAAATTAAAAATAGTGTGTATTTAGAGAAGTAAAGAAAGAATGTGAATTTTTTAGAAGTTGTTTTGTTTTTTTGCTGTAATTTTTTTATTTTTTTTTTATTTTTTTTTGGCAATTTTTTGTTTTTTTTGTTTGTCAATTGTATTTAAGATGTGTTTTGATTTGATTGTTTTGTTTTTTTATCTGTTAAAATTTGTTTTATTTAAAAATTGTTTTTAGATTCAAAATCAAAACAATCTATTATTTAAACAAATTTAGGAAAAATTCCGTCATATCACCCGGAAACCGATTCAGACAAATGATATGTCATTCGAAAGATCTCGCCGAGCTGAGTCGAACGACACCAAAATTAGCTTCCAAAACGACACCAAATTAGCCTTTAGCTTCTGAGCCGAGATAAAGAGGCTCAAAATGGTCACGTAAACCTATGGGGCATCGGCGAGGCGCTTGTGCAAAACCCCGCGCTTCGCGCGGGGTTTTGCGGCACGCGCCTCGCGGGGAGTCTACGGGCGCTGGGTCTGGGCTCGTAACATAAACCTATTCCTCTCTCTCTTACTCTGGACATACCTGGGGCCTCCGAAGCAGCAAAAACTTCCTCGGAGACCATAGGTAAGGAGCTAAAAGAAACGATCATAACTTTGTCAAATCAAGTCGAATTTCGTTGATTTTGGTCTCATTCGACTCAGCTCGACAAGCTCTTTCGAATGAGGTATAACTTGCATATTCGAATTTTTCACCCCAAAATTGAGCTTACTCCCCCCTTTGGTTTTTCGATTTTCGGGGACCTATATCTCGGCCCACAGGTGAGTCCCGAAGCTAATTTTGGTGTCGTTCGACTCAGCTCGGCGAGATCTTTCGAATGACATATCATTTGTCTGAATCGGTTTCCGGGTGATATGACGGAATTTTACCCAAATTTAGTGTCAAATTGTTGGTTTTCAGTGCTGATATTTTATTTAAGCAACGAGTGTCCAACCGGTGGTTAATTTTTGTGAGGTTTGTCTCTTAACATAATTAAAGTTAGGATTTTGTGTTAGACAATGCGATACTAAATAGTTAATGGTCCTAGATAGTTTGACACAGAGATACTAAGTAGTTGATTGTCCCTGATAGTTTGATACAGTGAGATACTAAGTAGTTGATAGTCCTAGATAGTTTGATACATTGAGATACTATATAGTTGATAGTCCTAGATTGTTTAATATTATGTGATACTGAATAGCTGAAAGTACTAGAGTTTACATTGTGTGATACTAGATAGTTGATTGTGTGATTGATACTAGATAGTTTAGCATTGTGAGATTGATAGTACTAGCAAGGTTGACATAGCGTGATGCTAAATAGTTGATAGTCCTAGAGTTTGTCATTGAGTGACACTAAATAGTTGATAGTACTAGAGTGACTAACAGTTGTAGTATAACAGTTGTAGTATATATAGTAAAAAAGTTCTTTTACTATTAACTAACAGTTGTAGCATATATAGTAAAAAGTTCTTTTACTATTAACTATTAACTAACAGTTGTAGTATATATAGTAAAAAAGTTCTTTTACTATTAACTATTAAAGTAGAGTAGTAGTAAAGTAGAGTACTGGAAATGGTTGGAATAATGTTGAGCAAAAAGGGTCCCGTAACTGGGTGAGGGTCCCGTGACTGGGTGAAAAGGGTCTGGAAATGATTGGAATAATGGTGAGCGAAAAGAGTCCCGTAAATGGGTGAAAAGGGTCGACAATAGTGGGAAGTAGAGATTTCGAGCAACAAGCAAGAGACAAGTGTCTGTCAAATAGTTTGAGAAAAGGATTCGTCAATAAACAAGATAAAAGAGCCCGTCAATAGAAAAAAGAATATAGTGTTCAATAGGCTTGAGAAAACGGTCCCACAATGAGTGGAAAAACGGTAATGATTGATATAGATGAGTGACATAGTTAATAGTTGAAAATTGATAGTTAATAGTTGAAAAATAGATATTAATAGGTAATAGTGAAAGTTGAAAATCTTTGTTAATAATTGACATAGATATTAATAATTGCAAGTTCAAAATATTAGTTAATAGTTGAATCAATGTTAATAATTGAAGATTGATAGTTAATAGTTGAATCATTATTAATAGTTAATTGAAAATTGATAGTTGAAAATTGATAGTTAATAGTAGAGAAATAGATATTAAAAGTTAATAGTAAAAGTTGAAAATCTTAATTAATAGTTGAATCATTGTTAATAGTTAATAGTTGAAGATTGATTAGTTGAAATAGATATTAATAGTTAATAGTGAAAGTTGAAAATCTTAGCTAATAGTTAATAGTTGACATAGATATTAATAGTTAATGGTTGAAAACTTAGTTAATAGTTGATAAAGGTTTAGAATTGTAATGTTTAGAATTTTGCTAGCGGAAGGTGCTCGCCCGAAGGGCGACCCCCTCTGCTAGTGCATAAAATAATAGAATAGAGTCACGTTATAGTGAAGCAAAATATAACTAAAATGAGCTTCTGCCTCCGCCTTCAGCTCTAAGTTATTATATAATTGTCTCGCTACGAAACGAGCAAAACAGTCAAAATTTAGCGAAATTGCAAATTATAGTTTATTAATTTAAAGATAAAGTTCACATCGACATTTTCAAAAATTTTATGAGAGCATTTTTATTGACAAAACCAATATTTCTGGCGGTTGAATCGATAAGATTTGTTAAATCTAAAAATCCCTATTTGTTTGGAAAAGGATGGGTTATAAATGAGCGAATCCTAGAGGATGAGTCAGATGAAGTAAAGTTACTCGAAATGTGCGACGCAACTATTTTCTTCTAATGGCTTCAACGCAGAGCACTGATGTACAGTAAAAATTTTTAAATTGGGGTTTAGTACTCATAAGTAGGCTATTTCTGAACATTTTTAAATTATTGTTAGGTGGAATGATATTAATATAAAACTGCAGTTACCGGATAAATGACATGGCTAATAGGTCGAATACACAAAAATTAGTCCGTGGAACACATTTGGGCTAAGATATAGGGCTCGAAATGGTCAAAAATCATAAATGGAAGCTCATTGTTAGGAAAATAATACGAATATATGTATGTACCAGGAGTGTGCAAGTTTCGCCTTTCGTCTTTCGCTTTTTAAAATCACTTTCGGCACACCCCTGGTATGTACAGCGCATTCGGAAGAGCTCGTCGAGATGAGTCAAATATAACAAATTTGGACACAGTTACGATACAATAAATCGAGTTTTGCTAAAATAAGACTGAACTGGGTTTTTACTGTCCATTCCGTCAAAATGTAACCCAACACTAAGAAATAACTCTTTGCAGGAACTTCGTCTTATATACAAGTTGACAGAAATTCTTTCCGGAGCAAATGAGTTTCTCAATTTTAAAAAATTGAGAAAAGAGTTTCAAAAAAATGAATTAAAATTTCTCTATAGTCGATTTGATGGAACATACCAACAACATCAAATAAATAAAGTAAAATTGCTTAATATAATAATAATTAAAGCTAAAATATAATAAATTATTGCTTAATATAATAAAATTTAGACTATTTTGGGAAAATTTAAAGAGAGATTTACATCATTCTCATCACATTTTGATTCATACCACTGGTCTCGTATGTGTGATAATGAACTGAATATTAATTATTACAGTTTATTTATTGAAGGATATTCCAATTTACTTAATGATTCAAGCTGGATGCAGGTAAACATCCAAGAGTTACTTTGTTTGAGAATGTAAGGATCAGGGCTAGGCTTAATATAAAATAAAAAACGAAATGCGAAATGCGAAACTTTTCGCGCTAAAAATGCGAGAATGCGAAGGATGTGAAAATCGAAATTGCGAAATTTGTTCATAAAAATCCAAAAATAAAAGCGAAATGCGGTACATTTCGCGCCAAAAAATGCGAGAATGCGAAAGATGCGAAGCGCGAAAGTGCGATATAAGCCCAGCCCTGGTAAGGATGATTCATCTAGCAGACTTAAAAGCTTAAGGGGGTACCTAAAAGCTTAAGAAGTTAAACCTAAAAAATTAAACAATATAAAATTAGAACCTACATGAATATAAGCGAAACCCTCTATAAAAGAGAAATCAAAGATTTATAATTATTCATAATTGGGGCCTCACAAGGTTATGCCTTGATCAGAGCATATTTTCCGTGCTTATATTGTGAGGCTTACATAATTATAATTTCTAGTTTATTAGCGATGAAAAGACAAGTCACTGCTTATGATCGAAGAAAAATTGATGAAAATTTAATTATTTCCATTGTTTCGGAAGAATTTATATATTTTACAATGATGGGGTTTAATGCAGAATCATCATCTGCGAACATAAAATATTTGGGTTATGATAGAAAAAATATTTTGGAAAGAATTAAAGAAGTTATCAGTTTTTACGGTTTTCATTACATCAATCAAATTTTCTTCAGAGCCTTCGAAATAGGTAGAAACATTTTTATATTTAGCGGCTGAAAGGGTCGATCGTAACGGCTGAAAGGGTCGTAAAGAATTGATATCTTAAAAATCTCGATCTCGATAACCGAGATATTGTTCGAGATCTAGTTTCGGTGCAATCTCTTATAAGAATTGTATGTCATAATTTGCAATGTTTTGTTGAGATATGCGGAATAGCCATAAATGACCGTTATAATTGCCTGTCATAATTTCCCGTCGTAAAAAAGATTCAAATAGCCCGTCTAAATATTCAAATGTGGAAAAATATTGGACAAAAATGTCTTAATTTGTATTTTTTAATCTTAAGAATCCAGCGATTTGTTTACAAACTTTGAACAAATTGAATTTAATGCTTACCCTACACATGTTGGAGGAACATTTCAAATGAATGGAATTTTTGATAATTTGTATAAATGGATAAATGAAGTCTGCCCTACTGTTCTGCATAGACACAACGAGTAATAAAATTTGATTTTATAATTAATGCTTCCATTGGGAGCAGGCCACTATACCTTCACTTAACTCTGTAACAAAATGATAGCGCCACCTAGTTTTATATCAATATCTCACCAAATATGAAACGGATATGTTTCAAATTTCGTCAGAATATAGGTAAGGATATTATGTATCAATATTGAAAAGGAAAAGTTTGTTGCAATTTTTTGAAAAATTTTATAACAATAAATTTGAACTTTTGAGTGTAACAAAAAATCTTTTCATTATTGATACATAATATCCTTAAATATATTCCACCAAAATTTGAAACTGATTCGTTACATATTTGGTGAGATATTGATAAAAACTCGGTGGCGCTATCATTTTGTTACAGTGTATTAACATCCCCCGTCATTGGGTCAATATCCCCCGTCATTGGGTCAACATCCCCCGTCATTGGGTCAATATCCCCCGTCATTGGGTCAACATCCCCCGTCATTGGAACAACATGCCCTGTCACCTAGTAACATCCCCCGCCAAAATAATAATACATTTTTGCGGCAGTATACCGGGCGGCAATATAATGGGGTGTACCCAAATCTTTTAGTAATGGCCATTTTGACCGGCTATAACTTTCTTAAATATTAAAATGACGCATTAATTCTGTGTTAAGGAAACGATTCGATTTTTAATAAATATTATATTAAATAAAGATTATATTGGATGGATCAGATTTGGAAAGAAAATCTAATGAGAGAATTTCAAATGGTCAAAATTTTCTTGAATGGAAACATTAGAGTATCTAATGCCACAAATTATCTATACAACATATACATCAGTGCAACTAAAAATGGCGGTTTTTATCTTGATATTTTGTTCAAGTTTTTGGAGAATTTGTTTGAAATCGGAGATTTGACAAGCCTTAACGAGTCTACAAAAGAAATCTATGAACAAAGAGATTCTTTTCAAAAATTAATAGATGGCATAAGTAGTAATACTGATAACGTATTTAATTATGGAGAAAGAATTTTAACAAGTACAAAGAATGTAATTGAGAATTTCGAAAATCTACTAATGTCAAAACCATTATTTGCTGAGAATATAATTTCAAGGTTATAATTTAAATAAAAATATAACCTTATATTCTATCTTAATCTAAAAATCGTCAAATCACTTTTAACCTTCTTTAGTAAAAATCACTAATACTTGGTCGGACCTGAGTTGACCGTTATTTTTAATAATAATATTATAAAACTAAAATTGACCATAATAAATTTAATCTAATATGTAATTATCAAGAGAATCAAACCCTGATCATGAATTGCGTGTATTATCCTTGTCCCTCTACACATTCCATGGTCTTTTACATTTGCTACATGTTGCATTGCCAATGGCTAAGCGCATATTTCGGGAACGTATATGTTATTATGATGGTCAACATTATATACAATTTACTGAATCTGCACAATTTATTGTAGAAAACATAAAAGAATATGACAATTTTGAACGTATTTTGAATTGGTTTGATGAGATAATTAATAAAGGCAGGTTTAAGAACGATATAACATTTTGATACTTTTCTGGTTAGGTTCAATATGTAAGATACAAAACAGTGACTTTCTAATGATCTCAATTATCCATGGCCTTTGTTATGAGACCCTCTTTGTCATAAACTTAACGATGAAGCGCACCACTTAAGCCATTCAACCACACATCACTCTTCTAGTTGTTATCATTAGAAAGCGAGATCATTAAAAGTTTTTTACTAAATTATAGTAAAATTTAATTTAACCTCCATTATTATTAAGTACGTAATTCAGTGTCGTTTGAATACGAAGTTGAAAACATCAAAAATTTTGGAACAGAAAATCATGAACACTCAAACGTTAAAATTAATGAATTTTGGTTTTATTTGTATTATGGACTAGATGTCGAAGAAAAGAATCAAGAAATAAACGTAATGCTCCAAGAAGGCATCACGCAACAAGGTTTACTGACTTGTTTCGATATTTTTTTCAAAATGATAGCTCAAGTCTGATCGTAGATTAAAAAGTTACAAATTTATATGTGTGAAAAACATATATTTAATGCATTTATCGAGTTGATCCTTTTAACAGGCAACCAGATTGATTCATAAATTAAAAAAAGACAGCCCTATATTCTTGGGAGGGAACCATTTAAAAAAAATACGTCATATAAATAATTTATAATAATTTTCTATACTTCAAGTTTTGTTAAATACACCAATTACCGGAATATTTGAAAACAATGAAGATGTATTTTCTTATCAGCCATCATTTGAACATGGGCAAACATCTACTGCACATGAAATGCAGGATGAACCCTATTCGGCTTCACCACATAGTGGAGGAATTCACACTTCAGCTTCATGTAAAAATCGTTCTATAAATACTTAAATATTAGTTGTATTAATCTTATCATTATTTAGCTAGCCCCGAAGAGCCGAAATCCAAGCCAGATTGTATCTGCAATATTCTTCGCAAGAAACGCTTAGTTAATTTCTTGAATGTACCTTATTCCCGCAAAAAGCGCGCAATGCGTACAACGGTAGGTACTCAATCTGGCTCTTCACATGAGGGGAAAAGGAAGGACAATAAAAAAGAAAAAGCGGAGGATGTACATAAAAAGAAAAGGACCAATAAAGGAAAAGCGAAAGATGAAGATATACCATTAACCCCTGAAAATTGTGGACCTTGGTTTGCCATTATTTGGATTGTGTTGAAAGTTTTTATTTTTGCATTGGGATGGATGATGTTGGCTATGTATTATAAATTGATTCCGGTATAATTATTTTGAAATTTTTATGATATTCAGTATATATTCTTTAATTTTTTTCATTTTTCCATGTTTATAATTTTTTGATTTCCGTCAAGTCGGATCTCACATTCGATTAGAAAGTGATTGATAGGAATAAGATTGAGAGACATTTACCGTATAACTAAAGACGGGACCAAGACAAGATCATGATCTCGATTCTCGTTTGACATTCTCTGTCTGGCCGCTATTATATACTGAATTATTTGTCCGTCCTACATATTTATCTAGTTTATATTAATTACACTCTTCAACCAAATATAGAAACAATAATTACGAGTAATTAATATGGCAATCCTACAATATAGAATTTTGATTTTCTTTGCGATTTCCATGGGTCTAACGCAGGTTTAACGTTGATAACCAATGGAGTGATGCAAGCGAGATCCGACTTTTCCGGCATGGGGTTTTTTTATTCCAGTTTGAGTTTTCTGTAAGCTAAACTGGAACTTTTTTTGCCCCATTGGAACAACTTCTCAAGGGTTTCTTTAATCATTTATTTTAAAACAACCTTTTATCATATTTTTAAATTTGTATTTTTTTGACCTGGGGTTTTTTTATTCCAGTTTAATTCTTTTGTAAGCTAAACTGGAACTTTTTTTGCCCCATTGGAACAACTTCTCAAGGGTTTCTTTACTTTAATCATTTATTTTAAAACAACCTTTATCTTTATTTCTGAATTTGTATTTTTTATTAAATTTTATTTTCATTTTTTAAACGTTTTACGATAAATTATTTATTAAAAATATTTCAAATTTTTATGAGTTATAGTTAGAAAGCAGAATTTAACACATTCACAAATAGGTTTTAAAATATAAATTTCCAAGTTTATCTTAATTACATAATGTTACTAAATTTTTATATACAACCCGATTCGTCTCAATTTCTTATAAAATTTACATTTATTTCTTCTATTCTTTATCCATGCAGAAAACCGTGTCGAATACCCTTCTCCCTCGACCATTTTTGCTTCTGAGAGTTATACGGCTTTCTAGTAAAGCCTGAACCCTATTCTTTGCTGTATAGCATAGACAAGATCCCGTTGACTAGAATATTAATATTTTTTGTTTCTTATGTTCCATTTTGGTAATTTATAATTTATGGTGCAAATGCTATTGAATTCCGCAACGAGGTAGCGATGTTCAAAAAATTATAACTTTATGAATATCAACCATATATAGCTAAACGTGAAATTAAAATGAAGAGCAGATTCAGATCTTTATGGTAGTCAATAAGAAAAAAAGAATATTTGTAAGATAACACCCCTAAAAATTTAACCGAATAAAGCGACACTAATTATGACACGACCTAATATTTTTCTTATTTTATACTACTATGTATTGTGCTTTCATTTAGCTCCTTATCGTGGATTTTTGGAGGTTTTTGCTACTGCGGAAAATGCCAGGCATTCCCACTGCAGCGGTAATAAATGGCTTATGGCAAACTTTAAAGGCCTTACAATATCTACAATTTATAAATTTAAAAAAATTATTTCAAATTATTGCCAATCAATTTTTATATTATTTATTAGTGTCGAGCATTTTCTTAAATTTTGCCCATCCATCACTCTCAATTGTTAAGTGTTAGACTTCCCTTATAACTTTGGCATTTTTTATTCACTTTTATTTTTTTATTTACAAAAAAATTCCTTTCTTTAATTAAATTTAAAATTGTAAAGCATATAGCTATTTAATTATTAAGCTATTTAATTATTATTGTCTAAAGAGCTTTTCTAATAGTAATAGAATTTGTTTGAATAAAGTTGTGTAACTTTTAGGCTTTTGTTTTGTTTAGAATAAAGAGTTGAAATTAGAACTTAAATAGTTTGATTTAAGTCTTCTAAGTTTAGAGTTCTTTGACTAAGAGTTAATTTTGTTTTAATTTGTGTTAAATTTGAGTTAAATTTGAGTTTTCTAGAGATTTCTAGAATTTAATTTATAACGTTTAGATTGTGTAAAAAGATTTAAATAAAGTATATTA